ACACGTAAATGGAATATCAGAATCAAGTCAACCCTCTATGGCAGCTTCAGTCTCCTGTGCCAGTAGAGCCTGTGGTACTCCAGGATACTCCCTCTTTGTCGACCTCCCCAACTCCTCCTTCCACAGGCTGCAGATCATCCAGAACTCTTAGCCTGTGTCCTCTCCCGCAACAGGCTCTACGACCCCATCGCCCCACCCTCACCCGACTCCACTGGCTCCTCATCACTCAGAGATTACAGTTCAAGATCCTGGTCCTCGCCTTCAAAGCCCTCCACAGCCTTGTTCCTCTGTGACATCCTAACCCCCTACCAACCTGCCCGCTCCCTCGGCACAGCGGGCTCTGGCCTGCTTCACATCCCCCGCCTTGCTCTGCCTACCATTGGCGGGCAGCTCTTCAGTCTCTCATTCCCCCCTCTGGAACTCCATCCCACAGTACCTCTACTTCGCTGCCTCCCTTGCCTCCTTCAAGACCCTTCTCAAGACCCTCCTCTTCAACCGTGCCTTCAGTCACACTCCTTCCCCTACCCTCCCCGCCCTCCACCCCTCCTGATCCCAACCAGCAGCTCGGGTGCGGATCACTGACTGTCCAGCGCCTTGGGAGGTCCTCCTGACGTGGAAGGCGCTATACAAATGTAATTTGTTGTTGTTGTTGATAAACAGATCAGCCAGCCTGGCTCATCGGTAGGACTGGGAGCAGGGACTTTGCCCATTCAGTTCCTTGTAACATTTAACCCTTAAGCCAAAGGTAGCATGGTTCCAGCTGGACAAGCAATGGGAAGCTTTCCATGTAGTGCTCTCAATGGCCAGCTATCCAGTTCTATTTAGCTGAACTCCAGCAGTACCACAACCCACACTCTGGCCCCCACAGGGTTTACTTATCCATAATTTGCCAGAAAAGTTGCCATGGGCGCCCAGGAACATAAATTATAAATAAGGATTGCATTTGATACAGAACCTAAAATCTATCCAAATATCTCAAAATGCTTCCCAAATATTTGCTGACAAACGTAGAGACAAATCAGCTGTACTTTGCATGAGTTAAACTGAGGCCATATCTGCCTGTTCAGGTTAAGATTAAAGATCCCATGACAATATTCAAAAAGAGACGGGTATTTTTCCCAGTGTCTTGGCCAATAATCTTCCACATAAAATTAATTATGGGCGTTTGTGGGACATTGCCGTGCACAAATTAGCTTTTACTTTCAATTGCAAAATACACTTCCTGCTACCCCTGAGCCCTGACTCTCTATCTCGCTTTAAATCCTATCTAAAAAACACTTCTTTGACCGCACTTATAGTCACTTCCCCTTTCCCATCTCCCCCGGTCATTTTTTCCCTTGTCACGGTTACCCCGTTTTTGTACAACACTTTGTCTCTATTTATTTCTATGTACCGTAGATAATCTATTCATAGTTCGTGTGTTTAAAGATGCCTGTGTCGTTAAGTGGGTTTGTGATTTAAACATTGCAAACCATTTTTATTTAAAATAGCAGGGGCAGCCTTGGTGATACAAAGTATGTGACCTGGGTGAGTGGTTGCAACATTTCGTGGGAAAAAGCCCACATGGGTTTTTAGCGTGGGAAAAAGTATGGAGAGGCTACATTAGAAAGGGGAGAGGGTAGTTTTGTATAAAAGGTGGAGGCTGGAGAGATTCATGGTTGCTAGCCTTGTGTGTCTTGTGAGGGATTCCTCCAGGTCAAGATTGTTTTTTCTTTATACTAATTATAGATAAGTGCTGCTAGTTTCATAGTGATCGTGTTAGGGTTTTCTATCTCATTAATGATGCGCCAGTTTATCATACTTGCGGTTAGCGTAAATAGACATAGGTTTGTTTAGGGCTAATAAAATAGCATTGTGTTTTCTTAAAAGTGTCTCTCGAGTCTCTGTAGATTCTTAAAGGAGGGAGGTAATACACAAAACAGGTTGCAGCTTGATTCAGTGATCTGGTAGTGTGATAAGACGCTGATGAAAGCATCTCAATTGCATGGGCAGTAAGCCACTTGGGAAGACCTGTCGTTGTATAGATCTCATTAGTGAGTTTCACAAGAAAAGGGAACTTGCACTTACAGAGATAGGACTGATACGGAGGCCACCTAACACACTTTGCATTACTAAACTTTGCGTCCGACCCTGTGAAGTGCTTAAAGTCCTTGTGGAGCCCAATAGCTTAGTGATTAGAGCACTCACCTCGCACGTGAGAGGACCTGGGTTTGATTCCCAGCAAGCAAAGTATCCTTACTCCATACGCCTCTGGTTATCTAGCAGTAAATAGGGACCCAGTTATTAGTCGATTGTCGGATCGCTTTTCCGGGGTAATAATCCCTTAAAAACAAATAATAATTGGGTCACTCAATCCATGGTTTGTGGGACATTGCTGTGCATAATTGGTGTCGCGTTTCGCCCATAAAGCATAGTCACTACACTTTACAGTGTATACTGTGAAGCGCTTTGAGATGTCTTGAAGACGTGATAAAGCGCTACATCAAATGCAAGGATTATTTATATTATTATAAAGGATGACTAGAATCATTTAAATGCACATTAAATCTTATTTAAACCATTAAGCTCTGGCATTTCCTATATTTTAATAGGCACTTCTACTTACTGGAAGCAAAGAGAGTTTTACATTTAGTTTGTCTTATTAACTGAATTCACCCTCACCAACCCAAACGCTCTCTTCACTCAGTGAACACCGGCCTGCTTTATGCCCCTGTCCTATCTGCCCCACTATCATCAGGAAGGCTTTCAGCCATTCAGTTCCCGCATTCTGGGGTCCGGCTTGCTCCATCCCTCCCCTCATTCATGGCACATCTCAAAACGTAACTCTTTGACAGCGCTTTCAGTCATCTTCCCCTTTCCCAACCCCTTGGCTTCCACTTCCAGCTCGGGTGCCCATCCAACCTTGTCAAGCACTTTGAAACATCCTCCTAAAGTGAAAGTCACTACAAGGAAATCCTGATAACTCATCACTCTGAGGAAAAAGAGCCCAGTGAAGAGTTATCCGGAGTGGGGAATAGGATATTGACAGCATGATGACTTAAGTAGTAGTGACACATTAAACCAGGGTCAAATTATCAGGCGTTCATTGTATATAAATCTGAATTATATTGTGTTGTATTATTTAGACTGAGTATAATGTGATGCTGACTGATAGGGTATAAGTATGTGTGAGTGCAAAAAAAGGAAAAATTTGACTGAGCCATTAATGATCACTTACAGGCAACAGTTCTAATACTAAGAAAAATTAAAGCCATTTTATTCTAATTTTGCAATCCTTTCAAAAAAAATAATCTCTGTTATCAATCTATAGTGCCTATTACTTGAATGGGTCTTTATTGCAGGAGGCAATTCATTTCAATCCCAGGTTGTACAAAACTAAAGGGACTTTCCTTCTTGCTCAGCTTTGATGTAAGGCAGCTGCAATTTTTATTCATTAGGACTGTTACTGGAAGTTTAAACAAGCCTGACAAATGCTGAGTGCTGGAACTGGTGTGCCCTTTATAGTGGAATATAACTTACTTTTAAATGGGTAGAGTAATATCACCATTTAAAAGAAGTGTAGTTGGCATTTTGATCAAAATATATTTTCTTTTCTGCCTTTCATGTCGGGATGATGTCCCAAAGTACTTAACAGGATTTCCTGTGAAATAAAATGACTGTGTGTTTGTAGGTGAACACGACATCTGATTTGGGTAGCAATGCTTCAGACTGAACAAAGCATTACACTGATGTTAGAGCATCAGGAGATTTGGAGCACTGTTGCAGAACAAAGACAAATACTTTTGGGGAAATATTAAGAGCATTTGATCTAATCTTACTGGCACATGTATTCTAAATGAAATTATATTATTTTGGCAAAATACATTTGCTGCTAAAGTTTGGGCTAAATAAAGCAGAGTCCAGAAATAATTTTAACTGTCAGGTGATTCCTGCAATTGTATTGAGAAAAGCAGAAAGGATTAATAGGTTTCAGTACTAGTACATTTGAGGTTGATATGTCTGAAATTGTGGCATTGTCTTATTGAAAAATCATTCATAATTCTCAAAATGGCCTTGAATGCTTAACTATTTTAAAAATATATTATCTGTGTGATTGGGATAATGTATTGTCTTAGTAGATTCTAATTAAAAACAATTCCTGCAAAAAATGACAAAGATACACCAGAAGATCATTTTAAATGTGTATGAATCTGCTTGAATCAAAGCATTTACTGCATCTCTATATATCCCTGATGGACCTGGATCTGGATCTTGATTGGAGTTGAAGATGCATTAGTGGAATGGAATTTATCCACAGGAGAGAGGGCATTAAACAACAAGGCTTAAGTAAGAACGACTCCAATAAAAAGCTTAGCATGACCCTTAATATTGAGTGGGGTGAGGAAAAAGTGAATTGTTATGATGGAAAAAAAGCATTTAATTGGTTCACTTCAGACAATATAGCAAGTCTGCCCTGTTTCATTTCAATGTATCTTTTTCTGAGAATTCAATACTTATGGGATTGTTTTTCAATATCGTATCTATCTGTCCAGCAGTGTCCTTTTTCCAAACACATTTTCATTCATTAAATAGAGCAAATGATAGCAACCAATTTTAGGTAAGTATAATTTAAGTATTATGCCAAATAGTCCTTTTTGCTTGACGTGGACTCATTGGGATAATATAAAGGTGAAGGATTCCAGTACAATTCTAATTTCTATGTTTTTTTAATATAAATAGGACAGACTTTATTTAAAATGTCATTGTTTATAAAAAACTGTTATGAAGATTTTTCATTTAACCAGAAAAGCTCACTTAAATACTGGTGTCTCCTTTGTGTGTGGTGAGTGCCTTCTTCACAATACGTCTGAATTGCTCTGTTAATACTATTTACCAAATGCATCTGATGCACAGGTTTTCTTCAGTCAAGCCACAATAGTAAAATGGACAAGAATGAGTCAGAATATCTAACACAGTGTGTTTTTTTTAAAGCTTTAATATGATCTTAATCTTTCTTTCAGCTGAAACAAAAATCTGCTTTAAGTATTACCATGGAGCGAGTGGAGCACTTCGAGCAACTACCCCAAGCGTCAGTGTAAGAAACCCTGCTGCTCCTGTGAGTTCCTTACTATATTGTGCTAATATATAAAGGTACAAATAGATAGTTGGGCACCGTAATATTCAAGCTTTGTTGGCAATTTTTCTCTAACTGGAAATGGCATTTGTTTTGTTTCCCACTACAGTCTCTTAGCTCCAGAAAAGCATCAGGCAGATAGTGTCTTTACCGCTGTGTAGTTAGTCATATCATGATTAGATGAGGGTGCCCAATGAATCAAATAATAATAATAGTAATAATAATAAACCTTACATTTGGTGTAGCACTTTTCACATCAGGAAGATATCCCAAAGCAAGTCACAGGATTTACTGTAAAGTGCAGTATTGTGTGTTTTGTGGGACGACGAGGTAGCCAATTTGTGTGCAGCAATGTCTTGCAAACAGCCATGGAGTGAATGACCAAATTTATTTGGATTAATTTGCAAGTCCTTATGTCTATTGGGAACACTTTGTGTGATATTTTTATACAATACAATTCACCTTTATACAACACCTTTCATTTCAGGATGATGTCTCAAACAAAAATGACAGATACCTCCATTCTACTGACATTGTATAAATTATATTTTACTTTTTAATTTAACCTGGAAAACAGAAATATGAATATGAAATTGTTATTATTATACACAAAATATTATTTTGTCATCCAGAATTTTTTTATCATTCTTGTTTGGGAGTTAGCATCAACTCTCATTTTTTGTACAATATTCTGGTTCACTGGGGTCAACTGAAAAAAAGAAGCTGAATTTTTTTAAGAGCTTTCTTACACTGAAGCATTTCAAATCACTGCACAGCAATTCCAATCAAGTGCTGTTACTGTTTATTTAGGTAAATGCAGTAGTCATTTTGCACACAGCAGGTTCCCACAAACGCCATGAGGTTAATAGTCAATTTAGTCAGCCCCAATACTGGGCAAAGCTCCACTTCTCTTTTTGAACAATTTCATAGAGTAAAGCTTATAATGTACGTGTTGGAAACCCAGCTGGTGCAAAAGGCCTTCAACTTCATGTTGGGAAATGTTGTTTCATTTTCAAGTACTTTCATCCAAGAACCTGGGCTTTGTGGGCATACAGCTATGTAACACAATACAAAATTACATTTGTAAAGCGCCTTTCACGTCGGGAGGACGTCTCAAGGTGCTGAATAGTCGGGGATTAGGACCGAAGTAGCTTGGGATTAGGGAGGGTGGGGAGGGTGGGGGTAGGAGCTTGGCCGAAGGCACGGTCGAAGAGGAGAGTCTTGAGGCATGCCTTGAAGGAGGCAAGGGGGGAGCAAGGCGAAGGGAATGTAGGACGGAATTCCAGAGGGTGGGGGCAGAGAGGCTGAAGATCCAACCGTTGATGGTGGGGCAGGCCGAGCAAGGGACATGGAGCAGGCCATAGCCTGCTGAGCGGAGAGAAAGGATAGGTTGATAAGGGGTCAACAGGTCGGAGAGGTAGGAGGGGGCAAGACCATGGAGGGCCTTGAAAATGAGGACGAGAATTTTGAACTCAATCCTCTGAGGGATGGGGAGCCAGTGGAGCCAGGTAAGGGTGGACATGATAGGGTCATGGAGCCTGGTGTGGGAGAGGACACGAGCTGCAGAGTTCTGGATGATCTACAGCTTGTGGAGGGAAATGTTGGGAAGGCCGACAAGCAGGGAGTTGGCATCGTCAAGCCTGGATGTAATGAAGGCATGTATGAGGGTTTTGGTGGCCTGAGGGGTGAGGTAGTGGCAGAGTTGGGCAATGTTGCGGAGGTGGGGGAAAGCAGAGCATGGATGTGGGAGAGAAAGGACAGTTGTGGTTCCTGTCTGGTTCGGTGAGGTGGAATGTGCATCTGTGGATGCTGTTGCTGCCAGTGCCTGAGGGGCAGAGGCGTTGGCGCGAGCCAATCAGTAGAGCCTCGGTATTGCTGACGTTCAACTGTAGAAAGTTGGCTCTCATCCAGGACTTGATGTCTGATAGGCAGTCCGTCAGGACATCAGTGGTCCTCAGGTTGAAGGTCAAGGCAGAGAGATAGAGTTGGGTGTCATCCACATACATGTGGAAGTTGACCCCATGTACAGTTGAAGAGGAAAGGACCGAGGACAGAGCCCTGAGGAACACCACACAAGATGGACCGGGGGCTGGAGGAAAAGCCATTTGTGGAGACAAAGTGGAGCCGATGTGAGAGATAGGATCTGAACCATTCAAGGACTGAACCTTGAAGCTTAAAGTGAGAGGAGAGAGGGTGGAGGATGATAGTGACTGTGTCAAAGGCAGCAGAGAGGTTGAGGAGGATGAGGAGACAGAGGGAGCCCTAGTCATAGATAGACAGAATGTTATTTGTCACCTTGGCCCTGGGCTGTTTCGAAACCCGATTGGAGGGGTTCGTAAAGGGAATGGCAGGAGAGGAAGGAGTGAAGCTGGGATTTTTTTAGGATAAGGCTGATGACAGCTGTTTTTAGGGGGGTGGGAACGGTGCCAGTTGACAGGGAGAGGTTGATTTTGGTCTTGAGGAAATCCAGCATCTCCTCACAGATGGAGTTGTAGGAGAGGATGGGCGAGGCATGAAAGGATGGACGGAGGAGCTGGTTGGTAGTGGATAAGAGGGGTTGTCCTTGACCTCGAAGATTACCTTGGAATAAAAGGCCAATTTAGTGAGGCGAGGGCAGACTGGTCAGTTTTTATGTGGTCCAGCCAGATCTGCCAGTGAAACGTTAAATCAGATTTGAGCCAGGTGCGTTCAGTGGTATGCACCTGACCCTTGAATGAGCAGAGGTGGCTGGTATACCAGGGTGAGGTTCGTGAATAGGATGTGGTTCGGGAGATGAGGGCATGGGGGGGCAAGGGCATCGAGAATGGTGGAAAGGTAGTGGTGAAGGAGAGTGAGCGAGGAGGATAAGTTGGTGCGGGAGGTAGGGCAGAGAGGGAGGAGTTCAGACGACTAGCTCAGCAGAGATGGAATGCGGGGAGATTCTGTCCAGAGGCGGTAGGAGATGGAGGTTGGTTAAGACGTGGGTAATTTCCTCTCCTGGGTAATCTGTCACACATCAATCAATATCCTTCTTCACCTAGATCTTTATAAAGGATATAATCCTTCCATATAAGGAACACTTCTACCAATTAGACTAGCCCTAAGGATTCATTGGGCTCTTTAACACCCAAAATCCATGATATAATTTTGCATAAAGCAATTTCATGTTCTCAATTTGAGCCTATTCTTTAGTAGCTACTGTAGTGTGAGAGAGTGGAAATAAAAACTCTGCATTGTTTTCAACAACTTGCATTATATAGGATCCATCATGATTGTAGAATAATGTCTCAGAGTGCTCAGAGTGGAGTCCTGTAGCTCAGTGGTTAGAGCATTCGCTTTGCAAGCAAGAGACCTGAGTTCAATTCCAGGCAGGGCGAAACCTTGGACAAGTTTCGTTACTCCACACGCCTAATAATAATCCCTCCAAAACCAAAAACAATAATAAATTGGTCATTTTCAATATACGACTGTTTGTGGGACACTGCTGTGCACAATTGGCTGCCGCGTTCGCCCACAAATATACAGTCAATTCACTTTACAGTCTATTCTGTGAAGCGCTTTGAGAAGTCTAGAAGACGTGAAAAGCGCTATATCGAATGCAAGGATTATTATTATTATTATTTTTACTGATGATTGCTCACCGGTATGGAAATGTTGCATGTTTTATTTACAGATTACAGCAGAAACTTATATTGCAACAGCTTTTCGAAGAATATAGGGATTGTAGGGTTATTTAAATTTATGATCCTGTGGTGAAGTATGTACTGACACAAACCTTCAATTTGATTCAATTAGTACATTTTTAATAAAGATTAGCAATGCTATACATATCAAAGTTATACATTTCATCAAATTAAATTAATGCTTATGACAGATTGGTATAGTTCACTGCTATGATTTGATCAGATTGATACAGTAACTTTGATGGAGGAATCAACTTGTTAATGTGCATCGATCCATTTTTGATTATAGTATATCCCTCTTTCCTCAAGATGGTTGAAGTTAACTGCTCTATTCCCAAAACTCAGCTCTTCTGATTCAACTCAAAAATCTCTGGTTCTTTTTACCTTTTTGATCATGTATGCCAGTCTATTCAATGTGCTGTTAAAAACACCAGCTGCAAACCAAGGACAACATTTATCTTCCATGGTGAAAAAAACTTTTGTTACTTGCAGCAATGCATTCGCGTCATACAGTCAACCTTTAATGAACTAAACAACTCCCTGAGTCTTTGCGAATTCTTTTACTTTGTTCAACTTAAGACACCCCAGAATTCTGCGATTGCTTACATAATGTACAGATTCAAAACGTCCGTTGCAGTTAATCTTGTTGGTTATGTATGATTGCATTTTTATAGCGTTATTGCAAAAGAACCTGAGATTCTTTTGCAAAGGCTGAGATTGATCTTTTAAACGCTAAGGATGTAATGGGGAAATCAATAAAAAGCAGTGTTAAATTAACTCCTTACAGATCAATGCTCTGGACAAATGATCAATTTAGGCAAACTGACTAAGGAATCTATAATATATGTTGAGGACAGGATGTGTTACAAGAGATGCAATGCATTACATATAGAGCATACAGGATACACCTCAGAGACCATAAGACGTAGGAGCAGGAGTAGGCCATTCAGCCACTTGAGCCTGCCCCGACATTTAATAAGATCATGGCTGATCTTCTAACCTAATTCCATTTTCCCGCCCTATCCCCATATCCCTTAATCCCTCTATCCTTTAGAAATCTATCAACCTCAGTCTTGAATATGTTCAAGGACTCTTCTGGGGTAGAGAATTCCACAAATTCACTACTCTCTTCAATGAAGAAATGCTTCCTCAACTCAGTTCGAAAAGGCTGACCCTTAATCTTGAGACTATGACGTCAAAGAAATGTAGAGAGGAGATGGTTGAGCAATAACAAATTGCATTTAAATATCGTTCTTCACGCGGGGTAGCATCCCAGAGCTATAATTACAATAATAGTAATAATGATGATAACAATAATCC